CGCTTTCATTATATTTGAGCAACCCGAGTTCGAATCTCGGTGCCGTCACCAACGAAATGAGCTTAGCGCTTAAAATGAGCGGTGAAGGAAAACACCGTGAGGAAACCTGCTTATTTTCGGGATAATAACAAAAATACTCCCGCCGGATAACACTACACACACAGTTAGTGTAGCAACAAACACATTAGTTCGCCCTCGCCTCCGAGCACGGCGAGACCAACACAACGCGTACACAAGGTACACCCGCGTTCCAGGGCGGTTCTCACCGCCCCCAGCCACCGATTAGCTAAAAACACAGTCGACGGCCATCGGGGTCTCGGTCCGCACCGCTACTTCGATGGCCCTTAGATGACATGCCGTAGTTAAACGCACGCATGAGCACATGCGCGGCCCTACCTACAGTGGAGGGCCCAAACCCGTGGGTTCTGGCTAGCCCACCGGTTCTGCCATGCTGAAGCTTTAATAGTCTCTGGACTGAAAGCACAAACATCAGTTAATACAAGATACAAGAACAAAAATAAAATATTTTTAATATGTATGTGAAGTCCGCCAATCCGCAGTGGGGTCGCGTGGTGGACTATGTAGTTATATCCTATGTACGGATGAGGCCTTTTTCCAGCAGTGGGACATGTATGGTATATCTTAATAACATCTTACCTTGATTTGATGGCCACGGTTACCTCCCTAGCTACGCATAAGAAATATTTTAGTTAGCGGCCTGATCTATCGGTGACAGTAGGAGTTAATTAGATTTTATTGACCGGTACAAACGAGAAAAAAAGGAAAAGAAAAAAGGGCAAAAGGAAAGAGAAGTCCTGAAAGAGAGGGGCTGTGGCTCTACTTGTAACGCGCTTTGCGAAACTAAAGGAGTAATTACGTTCCTGGTTTACGAGCGTTTCAGGAAATAGTGGGGTAATGAGTGCACATCCGCGTCGAGTTCAAACTATTTGACAATTGAAACTTGCATTTCTCATAACGTTGGGCTGTCCGGCGTTATGAGAAATGCAGCCTAGACAGAATTTGCAACATATTTAAACCATATAAGAAATGATTGAAACAATTTCTTAGGTAAGAGGTACTGGGGATCATCGAATTGTTCAACGCACTTTTTTGTCAAAACTTATATTAAATAGCAATGCCATGTATGGATATTAGCAGAGTCTGTAACTCTGTAGGCATTATAAATGTTAAATATTTAAACAGAATTTACTGTTTACAATATGATTATCTCTTATCCTTTAAACGAGCAATTCTTGTATATATATATATATATATAATCGGAATCTCGGAAACGGCTCCAGCGATTTTCATGAAATTTAGTATGTGCGTAGATTCGGGAGCGAAAAATCGATCTAGCTATGTTTCATTTTTCGAAAATGTCCTTTTATCCCTGTTTTCAGGGAATGAAAAATATCATTCGAATATGACGGTAAATTTCGCCGAAAAAAAAATATATTATAATAGCTTGGTCGGTAATCGGGCGGCCCCGAAACAGAAGGCCGTGTTTCGTGTCACGATCGTTTACATACTTATTTTTTTTACTTTTTTTTCGATTCCAGATCATTGCTTTCTTTATTTTTTGTCCATCTAGATGATTTCGTTCTTTTTTCCATTTTTTTTAAAGTTCTTTCTTTTGTGAAGAACACCAGTTCATATTTTCTTATTATTACGTTGGTAAGATCGAAAAATATTATGCATATTTCATTACTCAGTTATTTGTACCTTAATGTAATTTCCAAAATACACGACTTACCAAAAAAAAAACAAACCAAAAACCAAAAACCGAGCAAAGGTTCTCAAAGTACTATATTTAATATAACAAATTAAATGTCGTAATGATATAATGATATTGCTTTTGTGATTTTCTCATCATTCATTAATTCATTCTCTTTTTCTTATTTAATTATACCCACGAGGGTATGATAATGTTATATTACAAAAGGTATTCTTACCGAGATCATCGACTAATAAACAAACAAAAAAAAATTCTGTATACGTATATACACACTTAAAAATTAAATATATTTCTTTGGCGTATGAAAATAAAAATGAATTGAAAAATTTATATCTTCTATACAGAGGGCATCGTATCACGGTGTAGTCCACCACACGGCCCCACTGCGGATTTGCGGAGTTCACAATTCTGCGACATATTTTTTTTAATATTATATACAAAAAAATAATATACTCTTAGTCTCAAAAAAGTGTAAAAAGTTATAAGTAAGTAAGTTATTACAAGTTTTGGTAAACCTATTTGACAGAAGCATCATCCGGGCGTCTTAAACAAACATTCTCGACATTGGCCTACTTATAAAGCGTAGAGGAGCGAAAAATTAAGAGCAGACATTCGCCTCGCGTCGTCGAGTGCGAGACAAAAGCTTAACAAAGCTTAAGGCCGAGCTTACTTTAGCTGTAGTACAAAAGCTGCAGCGGAAGAAATGCCCGCCGGATAAGGACTTGGAGTTCATGGCCGACCACTTCGTGCTCACAATTTGGCTACAGCAGCACCCGTCCCAATTCCCTCAAGGCCGAAGCCCTTTGTCGGCAACTTGGCGGACTCGCCCATAACTCGCCATTTACGACGCAATGTCACCAGGTTGTCCAGATTAAACAATAACGCGATATCAAGAATCAAGATACGCCCGGTGGGAAGTGATGCTCGTAACGAGTGGGTATTGTTACGCTGAATACTGTACACGCAAGTTTGTATACTTATTCATAAGCGCGCCTCGCGCTTAATATTATTCTGTTAAAGAACATTTTCTTATGTACATCGAAAAAGACTTGCTTTTAAATCGTTGAGCTTTTCTCTATTATTATTCATTTAATACATCAAAAGATATTGTAGCAGTAAAGTAGTTGTGTGAAAGTACAGAAATAATGGAAATTTTTAATGTAATGAAATTCAATTTAGTTTGATAGATAGATTAGTTAATGTTTAAGACGTTATACAATTTTGGGTTAGTAAAAATAATGGATGTGACGTTGTATTTTATTGACGAATTAAGGACATTACCTCGGTAAATTTACGACAAAGGAACATTTCGTTTGCGACTAAATGATTGTACCTCGCGTGTCACAAACACATCAGGTTATAGCGACAAACTTATTTCGGTTACAAGGGTAGTTATATTTTGGCTGGCAGGCCTTTGAGCTAATTTCACTGCATTAAACATAGATCAATTTAATGAACGTCAAGTATTTTTCATGGATATATGTAATTGTTATTTGTATTTAATTGTGAATACAAATAGTGTATTTTTTATGTAAAAGTTGCCTAATGAACAGACGGTTTACCTGATGTTAAGTGAATACCGCTGCCCATAGACATGTTCTACACCCGAGAGTTGACAACCTTTTCAAAAATTGGGCTCCGGCCACCCCAATCACCAGACGAAAGGCGAAAGGATTATACTTCCATTTTACGCCGGTCTTCTGTGAGGTCGTGGTACTTATCCGGACGAGCGGTTTTTATAGATAATGGTACGGAATCCTTCGTACACGAGTTCGACTCGCACTTGTCCAACATTTTATTATAAGTGTTATCTGAATTCACAAATGGTTACTTAGTACAGGGCCGTGATAGCTCAGTGTGCGGGCGCGCGCCTTTAATTCAATATACCTGAATTCGATCCCCGGTGCCGGCACCAATGAAGTTTTTAACTTTAAGTGCGTTTGAGTTTAAGACTTATCACGTGCTCCGTGGTGAAGGAAAACATCGTGAGGAATCCTGCATATTTTCATAAGATATGTGAAGTCCGCCAATCCGCAGTGGGGCCGCGTGGTGGACTATGCCCTGATACCCTCTGTATAGAGGAGGCCTTTTTTAAAAACTTCATTGCCCTGGGACATGTATAGGCTGTTACTTTACTTTACTTAGTCCAGATTGTCTATATATGTATAAACGATCCACTGTTTCTAGTATCATCACTTAGCTTATTAGCTGTATTTTATATCCAGTGCCCACAATGTATGCAATCTATTACCACAATTTTTATTTTTATCTAGAAACTTAACCAGCTACGACCCTATTAAGTGAGTATTTTGAACATTAACGTGTCTAAGCCGATATGTTCTCGTACAGCAACTGTTTATGAGTCACTCAGCGGGGCAACATAGTCATGCATAATATTACGTCCATAGTATCATCAGCTTTAATTAGATGCCAAGAGAAAAAAAACGATATTTTGGTTCAGTCTCATATTATAATTTAGGGTTTGGGACTACTCTATCCTTTACACCGCTACATGTTACATTTGTTTGTAACAAATGTAACATGTAGCGGTTTCCGTCAGTTTAAACATTATAGTTATAAAATGTTTAATTAGTGCTCGTTTGGCAAATGTAATGTTGTTTTAATTTCGGTGGATTTTATCAGTTTTTCTTTCAACATTATCTATAAAAACTTTGCTAAATATATATTGGTAATGAAATAAAATATAGCGTATTGGACGCGGGGATAATTTAGTTCTTCAATAATGAAATCTACAACCCATTCAGTTCCTTCCCATATTAACCATAATATTTATAAAACAGATGTTTATTAAATATTAGTATAGATATCACAAGATATGAAGAGTCTAGAATTAATATCCATAATCAGATACTAGCTATCTACCCAAAGCGCTTTTTAGATATGGAAATAATTTTTATTATTTCCATTTTTGCAAACCTTCATAAAATGTCTCTAATATTATTCGACTTGATAGTAAATATAGTAGAAAACAGAGATAGAAAATAAGAATCGATAGAAGCTCAGTAAAAGTCAGTTGTCGCAAGATTGTATTTAAACTAACATGCATAACATTTTACCCATTTTCATTGTAATTTGTAACATGCAGCGTAGCTCATCCTTAAATTCGTAACATTTATACTCAAAATAGAAACAGCAAGATTAATTAATTTCGACAATGATCTAAATATTTTCATATTATAATAATTGTCAATATATAGTTGTTACCTATAACAAAGCTAGCATATAGCAAGCAGAAAGAGCACGGATGCTTAATAAAAAAGAAATATTCACGCAATCTCACGTTGATCCCGCCGCTCCAGCCTCCCCGCCCATCCTCCGTCAGCGCGCGAACAAAGGAAACCACGCTGTGGACCACCAGCCACTAGCAACCGCCATTGCGGCACGCGCGCACACCACAAATATTAGATTTCGCACAACTATTTATAGGAATCGTGTGTCGCGCGATTGTTTACAAATAAAAAGCCGCTGGGCGGGCGGCGCGCAGGGCGGGCGGCGCGGGACGGGGTCAACGGCCGCGCCGCCCGTTGCCATGGCGACTGCGTCGCCCGCAGACTACGGCGGAGAGTGCAGTGCGGAGGTGCACGGAACCGTTACGCGTTCGGCCCGGCGCGGCTGCCCGCCCCAACGCAGCCGCTCTCACGTCTGTATCCCGGATGAGACTCTCGATTCAGCGATTCAGTTTCGGACTACGATCCAAAATTCCGTTTTTCCTTCTCCATTTCGAGCCTATATAAACTCAGTCCGATTTCGATATTGAATGCGATGCCGCAATTTCAGTTTTTGTTTAGTTTCCTTTGTTTCATTTTTCTAAAAATGCTATTTAAAAAGGTGATACGTCTGTGTAAGCTTTTAATCTATGATATGTTTATACAGAGCTGTTTATTGAACCACATTATTGTTTACACTAGGTATAAATAAATTTAATATCTCTAACACGTTGGTTTATCGAGGCGGTAGCTACGGAAGTCGTGTGAAGGATGAAATTAATAATTCCGACTACCTCACAGGTCACAGTCATGAAAGTTTATACGTCTGTCTAAGATAAGAATCCTTTACTAACACGTCGAAAAATGTCCCGGATATCTATTGGTATACGCAAAGAGAATTGTAATTTATTGCATCTGAATTGACAACACTACTCCACAAGTAAGGTGGTCTTCGTGAATCGATGGCTTTTTAAATCAATAACCAATTAAGGGACGACTCCACGGTTTAATGACGTGGATGGAGGCAACGAGCGTGCACTTGGAACGATTATAGCAGGACCAATGACGGATTCGTTAATTAACTCAAATTGGATGCGTCCACAGCCTGCGAGAAGGATAAATGGAAAAAGGCAGAAAGCATCCACCAGATTCATCCTATGGGAGCGCTTATTTCCACGGTTGTATTCACGTAATTATCGGATAAAGTTGTATATGTAAAGAGAGTTAATTGATGGCAGCTTAAAAAATATTTGCAAATACGTCACCAAAAATAGATATATTTTCTTCAGTTGAGTTTTAATTTTGCCATTTAAAAGTTTTGTTTTTAGAAGCGAGAGATGACAAAGGAATCTTGAAAGTTCATTCTAAAATTCTGTATTAAACAATGTAACACACTAAAATAATATACATTTAACCCTGTAGGATAACATTGCCCTTATTGTAGGATAACATTATCCTATGTTGTAAGGACGTTTTACAAATTTTAATATAAATTTCACATGACCAACACCCAAATCATCTGTGGTTCACACAAATATTTGTCCCGTGTGCGTCTAGAACCTACGAAAAAGTATACGTTTTCCTTACAATATTCCCGGTCAGTAAAGTTAATCCGTGGAAAGATTTCACCAACATCTGCTCGGTTATTATTCATGGTGCAACTTGCATATGCCATTAAGAGCCAAACTCTACGAGCGGCGGAGGGCCCGCCGTTGGACGAATTTGCATTTTTGAACGCCTAAGGGTTTTTGAACTTCCTCTGCGTTGCCGTGAGCGAAACCATGAAGCTTTGTTTAAGTGAACTCAACTTAAAAGTTTTAAAATTTAAACAGCATTCACTGAGATATTATCGTGATACATTTTAGGAATTTATGTTCGATCGGATAAAATTATTTTTTATTCTTAATGATTTACTTTGACTTCCATTTGAGTCAAATTTTAATTATATTTAGATCATTGATATGGTGCAAAAGGGCTTCCCCAATTCGGTTTTTGGCCAATAAACGAATAGCTGTTCTTACAATATAAATGCATATTATACTATAGAGGTACTTTACTGTTTGAATTTGTTTCCAGTGTACGACGAATGGTATTAAATCCCTTTGGGATCAAATTAGATCGGTAAAACGTGACTATCATTACACGGCTGACGCGTGATATTAATACAGCGTGTCTTTACCACGGCGACAATAAATGAACACACGTCTAACGCTACTTGCCAATAATCATAAAAAATATTAATGTTAAAAACTCTTTAATGTTAAAAAGACTTTTTCATTCGTTGCCACAGCGTCACATTACAAGCCTCTCCTTCTAACAGTATGTTTTGTCTCTTTTAAATTAATTCAACCCATTCATATGCTTTGTGACCTTTACAAATGAACTTTACGTTACAGTTTTATACGTAAGGTTGTTCTAAAATTCTTTGTTTTGGAAAATTTAAGAACTCTGTAAATATTGATGTTTAAAGAATGTAAATGTTTAATACAATTTTAAAAAGGTATCCTCTATATATGTGTTCATTTGTCGCGATTGTAAAGACACGCCGTATCAATAGCCGTGGCCATAGCAATAGTATAAATATATATATTCTTTTAATAATAAGAATCCTACGTCCATTTAAATACCTCTAAAAATATGTGTACAAAGTTTCATGATAATCGGTTGAGTAGTTTTGGCGTGAAAGCGTTACAACCAGCGAAACAAACTTACAATCGCATTTATAATATTAAAAAGTAGCGATTGATGCGTTGTTCGCGCTCTGTTACTTATCCATAATGGTATTTATTCGAAATTCAAATAACTACTTGGATACCGTTCAAGCACTTAATAACAATGTAAATCAACGATGGCCTTATCTTCAATGCCTGTTACCAAAACTCATAACTTTGTATTTTTTTTAAAAGTATTCACTATACTTCAGGTTTTTTTTTACAGTATAATGTTGGCGTATGACGCATATATAATAAAATATCATAAAAAAGAATCGACTTTGCTCTTGATTTAAAGCTACGGTACAAAAACAGTTGTTGATACCTGTTGCAGCTGCATTGTAGATTAATAGTCAACTTCTAGGACAATAAAGTTTGTGAGCTTCGAGGCAAATAATGGTTTTCCTACACACAACCTTCAGGCAAGTAATAAACCACGGTGGCCATAGCGTTACGAAACCACCAATGGGCGCGTTTGTTTGTTTATTTGCCGCGGTTCTGTTTCCAGTATGTCCGCACCTTTCCACAGAACCGTTAATTCGGTCAAGGTGAGAATAGGATACGTAACATCACATCACCCCGTCTTCTTACCCATTTGTAGTCTACCATGTACCCATTTGTAGTAAAATAAATTTGTAGTCATCATTTTTTTATTTTACATTTTAGATTTGAGTTAAACAGTTAAAAAGAGTGATTTACGATCTTATAAAATGCGTTTTATAAGCGTTTTCTAAATTGAATAACGTCAAGTATGAAATTGTATTCAAAGTTGGTTCTCATATATCACAAGCCCAGAAAACGAATGGATTTGATCGGCTCATTAGAAATAAAGCTCGTATTATATTACGTCCACAAGTCAATTATTTAATAACATAATAATATAAAGAACACGATGTTGCTCCAAGTTGCCTGAGTTCTTTTGGCCAGTCTGAAAAAATTCACTTAAATGAAGGCGAATAATGTTCACACAGCCGCTTATTTTTAGGCAAGAGTGCAGCAATTCGTTCGAGGAAGAAGACCATAAACATTTATAATTTTGCATTTCGTCTGTTGAGTAAGGTAGCAGGGGCACGCCCTCTGAAATATCGGCAACATGATTGTTATTAATATCCTTGGGCAGCCGTGACCGTATTAAGCTATTTATTTTTCAAAACTTCTTATGAAAATGCACCTCAGCTATGAAATCTTTCAAATGAACAAGGAATCCTGCACCTCGGTGTCAACGGCCCTTATTTAACTCGGACCGCCTGGGGCAGACTTCATTCCCTAAGTTGGGGATGAGTTAACTCTTCCCCTCTTAAATACACTTAATTGTTTCTTGAATCAACCCACTTTGAAACTTGTACCATTACTTTGATGACAGACTTAATATTACGCCGCTAGAACACGTTTTTTTATTAAAAATAAATCTAATTAAGCTTACATGTTGAGCGCCAATTAACTATGCATAAATAATTATTTATGCACCATCGTGTAAATAGTATAGCAGAGGAATATTAGCATTCAAGTAAAATGTTTATTTGAGCGATGTTTTCATGAATTAGCATTTTTGTTTCATTAAAATGTCGCTCTATATTGTTAGAGATGTAACTTTTACATTTTAATTTTTTTTTTATTTACAATCTGTTCTGAAACCGGTACAAGAGAGGCTAATTAACGTCTGCGGGATTGCGTTGCGGTGCCAATGGGGATAATTACGCGCTCAAGACTTTTCGGAGAGCGGGTCGGCGCCCGAATGTACTCGTATTTCTCTTAATATCAGGCTCTTTTTCGATAAATATATTCTGTAAATTGTGCCAAAATCCATAATATTCGTAAACGGATATGCAGTATCTCATGCAGTATCTTATACTGTGTAATATTTGAGGTTGCGCATCACCTTAGACGCGTTCAATGAACCAACTAACATCCTATCCTATCGTTTTCCACTCGATTTCGATGGTGAGTTTATCCCAAACATTAGTGTGATTAAAAAAAAACACTTATCCAACAAAGCCTTTGTAGATTATGTTCCCTTTGACGACGTGGAGAGGCGGGAAATCGAGCCCGCGAAATAAATTAATGACGTCGACGGAGACTCAATCCCCAGTGCTGCAGACTCATTAACATTCGCCTGCAATTATTTTCACGTGAGGTCGAAACAAAGGTTTAATTAGAGCGGGTCTTTCGCGCTTCTAACTGTTTGTGATGAGGTAAAGCGTTTTGGCAAAACTACGTAAAGCATTCAATTACGACGAATCACAAACATTGGTAGAACAAAGGAGTTCTCCGCTTTAAAAATACTTTATAATCTGCTGGCCAGTGCGACTTTAGAAGTAAAATGCTGAATTACTTTTATTATAATTTCGTTCACTAACTTACCTCGGATCGAGACGAACTTTTCTTTTGTTTCTGTCTTTCTTTTTATATTATAAACACTGGCCTTTCTGTATTGTAAGGACGTTTTATATACATAACTTTTACGTAGGTATATAAGCATCTACATCTGAGACAATGATCTGGGGGTTACAAGCAGGGCCGGATTTAAACTTAATGCCGCCCCTGGGCACTGGAAAAAAATCCACCCTAATACTGGAATTTAACTTAAACTTATAGTTTATATATTTTATTTTTCAAAATTAAGATAACTAATTTATTGTAGTAACTTTATTATAAGTTATACATTCCAAAAACAAATAAATATTTGTTTTTGTTTCTAACAATCAATTAAATAGAAAATTATTAATTAATAGAATTAATTAATTATATTGAGCAATCTTGATAAAACAAAAAAAATTTTTTCACTTTCAAAGATTTACCGCCCTAAAAAATTTGTCGCCCTGGGCACTTTCCCCGACTGCCCCTATTGTAAATCCACCGCTGGTTACAAGAATTGTTTTATCGTGTGAGAATCTAAGCCACGACCCCCTGTAAAAAACCCCCTGTAAAAACCCACGACCTTCAATTGTCAAGGTAATTACCTTGACAATTGAAGGTCAAACCACGGAGTCACCAAAATTATATCAAAATATATCCTGCATTGGAGATTATCTTAGATTCAGTGACCAAAAAAAAAAATTATAATACGTAATGGACGTGATTTTACCTGTTTTTTCTTAAAAAGCCAGCTTTTGAAGAAAAAATTTTTATTAATTTTTACCCATTATGCCATCATCATCATCATTTCAGCCCACAGATTGCCATGAAGTATTGAGCACGATCCCAAGCCACCTGAATCCATCGACTTCCCGAACACTTGCACAGGTCGTCACTCCATCTAGTGGAAAAGAAAGAAAGGTTCTCGAGTGGCAGCCTCGAACTGGCCATCGCAGTGTGAGACGCCCCCCACTAGACACATTATGCCAGAATTATATTTTTTTTACTGTATCATGTATCAACTAACAATGTATTTAAACGCCATCTATTACCAGAAGCGTAACCCGTTAAGTTTTATATTAGCCTGAATTTTAATCATGATTGCTTCTAAACTGGGTAGATGGCGTATATTAAGACAGTCATTACATATTTTATACTGCTATTTATTGGAATATAGTGAACTTGGTGATTATAATATTTAAGTAATGAAATAAGTAGAAGGTAAATAATTTAATGGTACGAAATTATAATCCCACCAATACCGCGATTAGTCACCGAATGGTAATATCATCGTCATAATCATGAGCCGCAAGACGTCCACTTTTGAACAAGGGCCTTCCTCTAAGAACGCCACAACGAGCGACATAATGGCAATATAGTAATGTACATTTAGTATTTATCATTGAAAGGTTGAATAATATTTAATTTTGAAGAATAGGAATAAATTACAGCCTATTTCGCTTTCCTAAATTTAAAAAATTCTCAATAGATGGCACTATCACACATTCATCATAAGGTGTTATTTGTTATTAACTTTTTTTTTTCAAGTAGTTTTCAAGTTTGATCTTCCAATAGGTTCACATTTTTTATTTCTTAAAACTTAATATTCATTAACTGTAAGATGTGACGGAAGGTAGATGTTTTAAATAATCACTAAACAGTTGAATTGTAACTTTTTCGCTCTTCATTAACCCGGTAGCGCAATTAAGTTAAGATTTTGCCTTTAGCGCTGGGGTTAGTGGGTTCGATTCCCACACGGAACAAGTATTTGTGTGACCCTCAGATAGTGGTTCCGATTCTGTTATCAAAGAGTGTTACGTCGGTCGTGAAAAAATAGGCAAAACCACTTACAACATGATTCACATGTTGTGCCGACCAATGATTACTTCAATTGTATTTTTATTAATCTTTTTTAATTAATGTATTAAAACATGTTTGTTCCGATTTTATATTTTCAATGGAAGATTTGAAATTAGATAAACTAAAGAATTACGCACTGTCTTTTTATTTGGCCTAATATCAATCATTTCAAATAACGAAAGTTGGTTAATAAAATGTTGTGTATTTGTATAACTAATGTCACGCTTTCAGTCCTTAGACTATTAAAGTTTCGTCTGACGCAGAACCGGTGGGCTAGCCAGAACCCACGGGTTTGGGCCCTCCGCTGTGAGTAGGTTCCGCGTTTAACTATGGTATGTCATCTAATGGCCATCGAGGTTGCGGTTCGGACCGGGACCCCGATGGCCGTCGACTGTGTTTTTAGCAATGGGTGGCTGGGAGCGGTGAGAACCGCCCTGGAACGCGGGTGTACCTTTGTGTTAGTCGCGCCGTGCTCGGAGGCGAGGGCGAACTAGTGTGTTTGTAGTTGCACTAACTGTGGATGTAGTGTTATCCGGCGGGACCCCCGGCGGTGAGTCCGACGTATCTAAGTCCACTTCCTCGACGGGGTCGATGAGGACGTTTGCGGGCGACGCTTTTTGACGTTCGCGTTTGTGTCGGTTAATAAAATATCCTCCCCATGCGCCTAAGTAGTAAACAAAGTAACATTCACAATATTATCAAAATTCAATCAAGTAAACAATAGCATCTATAGTGATCAAATCTTCCTAAAAATAAACAACCTGTTATATTAGGAAAGATTCTTTGCATATCGTTTTTCCAAATGTAACTTGGTGTATGTAGTAAGTCTTACTTCCTAATCATCATAGATGGCGTTGTCTGACTCTTTAATGAACAAGCAACATTTGAAACTTCGAACTTCAGCACCGATACCTAAAAGCAGTTCGCCTCGAATGTTGTTAAATTACGGAGAATTGTAACGTTAGGTTCAATCCTTTATAGTAATAAACTCTCGGATAGAGAGCGGTTTATTTTTACGACTCGGGTGTCGTTATCGCGTCGCTCTTTCGCTTCCACTGTCCAAACCGCGGCCGAGTACCCACACTACGGCCCTAGTGGAGATTCTAATTTTATGGCGGCAATAAACTGAACAGCGATTTGTACAATCCCCACGTCTGGATGTACCCAGTTATCTGCTTCATATGTGTTCTGTTTCAATAGCTTACGCCGGAATGATAATTTAAGATATAATATCAAATTTATTTAAACTTCGTCTCTCATGTGTGTGAAATCAAATTTTATTATCTGTTGTCCAATTTCAGACATCAATAATGAGTAAAGTTAAAATTTCTAAAACTGTTTGGAGCGCATTACCCTGGGGGATTACTTGGAACCCATACATTAGTTATCGAATCTTTTTCTGTTATTTTCATCTGTTTTCTCCAGTCAACTAATATAGTTTCGTATTTGCTTGTAGATTTTCGTATTGAACTCGGTTAATACATTTGCAAATATATATAAAAAACTACATTAGTTTTCAATGATTGTTTTTGTCAACGTAGATTATTGATAGAATATCAGAGATATTTTACGTTGTAGGTATGTGACTATGTCAAAACATTTCATTTTCGATAACATCTTGAGAATATCGGCAGGTATAAGAATGAAATATTTGTCGTTCGTTATGCTCTGAACTCTGAGGGTTGTTCGATTGTAATTATGAAAGGAAAATTAAGCTTCAAAAGCAATTGTCTCCATATTTAGGATTGCGACCGATCCGTGGGACGGACCGTATTATCGGACTCGACAAAGCAATTTATTAACTCAGTTATTGAACAACTGATTTCCCAAGAGACTTCGCTTCATTATACCGCGATATCAGTGTTTGATCTTAAATTGACCACTCTATGAAATAAACAATAAAAGTTTGATTTAGAACGGCAAGGGCCATTGTTTGCTTTGAATCTCCCACAAATGACCGCATCGTTTGCGCATATTTTATTGTTTATGAAATAAAATTATTGCAGAAAATGTATCTCTGCGTTAGTAAAAAGAGTTATCCTTGCGACAAGCCATTTGAACGCAAGAATATTCTTACACATTTGAACTTAAAACAATCAATCACATTTATATTATTTGTTTTATTTTACAGATAGAAATTAAATTGAGTTTCGTCGAATATTCAAAAACTGCCCAAAAGCTGTTTAGGCCATATAAAGTACTTCAGTCGCACTTAATTGAAAAAATTATGTATAGTCTACGATAGGTATATTTATTTACATATCAATATATTAAAATAATCTGCCACTAAAAATAATCAATAAATACTATCTCAGTCATCCTTTTTCGTTACATCTGCACCGTCTTCTTGGTTGAAATGCGCTTTTATTACGTTCACGACCTTCGACAAGAACCACAGAAGCGATACGATCAAAAGGAGAACATCGAAATGGAGTCTTTGTAGGGTCGGTATACTGAGCGCGGGTGATCTGAGGAACTCAGCCCCGCGGGTATATATCACCAGCTCCACCCAATGGAGCAGTTCCTTCTGGGGAGAAGCCAGACGCCTTCGGAACACGGAGGACACGGATTTGGCATTGAAGCGATAGCTGAAAATGGAAAAAATTTATTCATTTATTTAGGCTTACCAACTAAACTCATAATCAGAGTATTATTAATAAACATTTATAGTTACTAACAACAAACGAATTGTACTATATATATGACTGTAGATGGCTTAAAGGTCTGCATATTATTATACGCACATAAAACTTAAAATTAACAGAATGAAATCCTTATCCTTACTAATATTATAAAGGCGAAAGTTTGTATGTATGAATGGATGTTTGTTACTCTTTCACGCAAATACTACTGAATGGATTTTAATGAAACTTTACAATAATATAGCTTTACAATAAAACATAGGCATATATACATATTTTTGTATACATATGCCTTTCTGTTTGAATGTTACGCAATCAGTTTATTCTACGCAGACGTAGTCGCGGGCAGCAGCTATTATAATATAAACACAAAAACACTATTCTATGCGAACTACATTCGCATAAAGCTCTCATCCCTGCAATCGGATGAAATTGACTTTGGCTTATTTATCTTAATTTTAAATGTTTTTTAAATGTTATAAAAATAGTTTTTAAAGTAAATTCGAAAACCTCTAACTACTAACGCGTTTGATGTTCTAAGATAATAAATTCTATTTATGTCCAGCCACCATTCTCTCTATAATTCTGCTACATTATTCTAGAATATCTAGAATAATATAAACATTTAAGTAATTTGGTCTGATTAGAATTTGAAAACATTTTTAAAGCGATAAAAGGGTCGTTTTACCTGGAGTTGCTTATTATTTCATCGACGGCCTCCCGAATTTTGTTTGGTAAGTCGTTTGAATAGTCAACTCGTAATCCGCAGCCCCTTTGCACCACCAAGTCCACGTTGACGAACTGATCACCGTATATCGGTATGCCAATCATGGGCACGCCATGATGGGTAGCTTCCGTGATGGTCAGTAGACCGCCATGGCTTATGACGAGGATGAGGTTTTCATGAGCTGTGGAGTATTTTTTGTTCTATTAACATTAAATAGATGTTAATCGAGACCCCGATTCACTTGAATTAAAGTTATATTAATTATTAATGGATTTCAACAAAACTTCGTTAAAGAGGGTCGGTTACCTCAGTCAAGAGAAGAAACCCAAAAGTATATATACGTGTAAAATATTGTGCCATCTATTGTTATATCCTTTCCAGCATACAAACAACTTCGAATATCGTTTTACAACTATAATTGGGGTGTAACAATGAAGTATAAATAAATAAATATATGAATAGGCGTGTATAGTCTTAGTTCTATATTTAAATCTACAAAAGCTTCGTTCGTACTTAGTATGCTTTCTTGGGGCGCCCATTCCAATATATGTACATTGCTGGGCACGTCTTCCAAATCCTCTTCTAATTTCCACAGCACGGTTTGCTCCAACATTCCGAACATCGTTAGAAGCTCACGTTTCATTGATTCTGGCAAATCTCTGGCCTTCAAGTTGGAACCCATGCTGAAGTAGACCACTCCTTGTGTCGATTCATCAAGTAGTCTTTTCAAATCCTGCGCAGTGTTATATGCTTAGTTAGCTTTATGTGCCTGTTAAGATCTATGTGTATTGAGAACCAAAAATATTAAAAATGTATCATTGTATAGAACTGGAAAATACATAATAAATAAATAAATATTTCGGAATAATTTTTACACAACGCTCTCTAGTCACAAACTATGCAACGCTTTTACTATGGGTACTAGAAAACTACAACAAACTTATTTTTCTTTTGTAAATAAGTACACATTATACATATATGAATACTAGAAAAACAGATAGACACTAGAAAAACACTACATTCATCACACAATATTTTTCCAGTAGTGGGGATCGAACCGCAGACTCACTACGCCCGACGCCAATCGAATAATACTTCATTACAATTAGACTGAACACATTTTCACATTTTCTAAACGTACTTTAAGTTATTTGTGTATCAGTTAGCATGGTATAGAATTATCTGTTGATATCGTTTAATGATATAAATATGACATATCTGTTGATATGTTGTTATTAAATTATGAATTATAGAAAACAAAATATAAATTTCCCCTAATTTTCCTTAGAATGCCTTCTTATAGAGGACGTTAAGTGATCTGAAAAATGGGTAACTCGTAATTGCTCGCCAATGCATAAGGATCCGAATCCGAGAAATTAAGATAATAAAATGAACAACTTGGTCAGTCTTCGACCGTTTATAAGCTGGCGTTTATATTACTCACCAGTGGCAGGGGCCTTGGAGTGGAGCTCAAGTGGTGGCCTCCGATGTATTTGGCACTGCGAGGCAGCGGCACATTCTGACCGAGGGGTGGGTGGGAATTTATAAGCAGCAAGGAGGCGTTATAGGCTATCGATTCGTAGTCGGCCACAGGTCGCCCACGCAGTAGCAGCGGTGCACTGAATATTTTGCGGTACTCGGGCTTCTCTACATAATTGGTGAGGTAGCTAAAACCGGAGCAATCATAAATCGTTTAGCAAAACGTATCCCAACAAGGTGGAATAAGGGCAGGATGAATAAAGACTGAAAACGTGGAGCATGTAGTTAATGGTATTGGCTTGGTATTCTTTTCGACCCAACTTTTGGAACAAATACTGGGTGTTTCGGAACAAATATTATTATCTGTGGATCATACCAATAGTTGTATCACGTGGTAATCGATCCTACGACCTACGGCGCCGGGGCAAATGGATTAGCAACTGCGCCACTGAGTCATCAATATCGTTTACCGATATTATGAATGTCCACTGATGAATCATGTAGTTCAGTATTCTTATCGCGCATGTATTATATTTGATAGTGGAAGATAAAAGTAAAATATCTTGCATGCTGTCGGAAAATCTTAGACAAGATAGTTTATCTCCTTTTCTTAAATAAAACTTTACCTCAACTCAAGGATTGTACCCTAAATAGTGAAGAATAGGTCTTGCACAAAACTATGACCATACAGTTGATTCGGGACACGAAAACACTTGTTACATGCGAGATAAAACTATGAATATGACATGTGTCACTAAGCAACTTAACTTATGAATCTGGCACACCATAGAAAATACAGATACAAAGCGTATAAAAGTAAAAGAAAAGAATAATACGAATAAGAATTTACTAATTAACCTAAAATATGAAAATACTCATGAGACACTCACAAAATCCACCCGCTGAGGTACACTTGCAGCATGAGCTGGCGGATTTTATCGCCGGAGGTGAAGGGCGCTGCGGGGGCTGCTGACGACTGCAAGTCCACGCTATAAGCGGGGCTGCTGGCCTCGTGCACCATACGCAGCGACTGCCAGGACACGTCTCCAGAGGAGTACCAGATAAGAGGGCACTCGTAAACGGCTGCCAACCTGAAATCCTACCAATGATTAGTTACGACCTTAAACTTAAATAGTTTCAGTTGTGATAGACTGAGTCAGTTTTAAGATTAAAATTATTTCACGGTTTTTACCTTGTTTTATGGGAGAAGGAAGCAAAACGAGCAAGCAAATTCACTACACGTAAAGTAATAACAACCATGAATAATTGTTCACAATCATGGATTGGCAATTGTGACATTCCTTTAGAGAATAGGCCTCGATAACCTTAGTTGAAATGATCTCCAGATGCAATAAAAGTTAATTATTTTGTTTAGGGTAACTAGTAGCTTACGGTGCCAGAAGCCCGGAGTAAAACCATTCGGCGATCACCACGTCAAACGCACTGCGGGGATCGTTTAGGATTTCCTGGACGGCGGAGTGTCTTAGCGCTTTTGCCGCGAACATACTCCCCACGTGCAGGATCCAGTGGCTGGGCTTTTGGTTTCCTGCCATCTTCTCTATGTTCAAACGCTCGTTATCTGCGGTAAATGATGTAACGGATTGTAGCAACAGCATTTCTAAGTAGATCTTGTAGCCCCGGGCTGTATTTTCGTTTGTAAACATGAGTAATTTGTAACGTAGCCAAACGTTATACATTTGAGCATGATTAAACAACGGAATTATAGCAAACCACAAAGACTCAGGCACTATGCTCGGAGAGAGAACAAGATGAATTTAATATGCACAGTGATGTATGTACTTAATGAATTATTTAGAGTAACGTTTCAGTATTATGGTAACATAAGTTGTTTTAGAAGCGTTCTGTTCCTTACCGGACATGTCGAAGAGAATGGAACTAATGTCTGCATTTTTCAACTTCGTATTATTCGTCTCCAATGGAAAGGGAGTCACGTATGTCACCTGAAAAAAATATTACTCACATTGATATTTTTTATCTCATCCTAGCCGGCCGTGATGTTAAACAACTTTTTTTATCATGTTAAATGTATAATAACATTCGATTAGTCCGTGGCGCAGTTGCCAAGGTATTGGCTCGGGGGTTGTGGTTTCCATTTTCACGCGGAACAACTATTTGTGTGACCCACAGATAATTGTTTCGCATCTGGGTGTTTGTCCACGTAAATTTTATGTTTGTAAAACGTCCTTACCACACAGGATAATGTTATCCTAAAGTGAGGGCAATATTTGAAAAAAAAATTTTGTTTTCAAATCGAAATCATTGCAAGCTCGCTACCATATATTGTTATGACGGATGCAAGAATTGTGATTTAAAATAGTACCGAATCGACAATTTACCTGATGACCAGCATCTAGAAGAATATTGACGATGGAGTTCCCTAGGATGCTGTGACTCTTGCCGGGCACTGGAAATACAACTAAGACATGACTGCCTTTGGATGTATTAACGCAGCTGTAAACTAGGAATAGAATAAAACTTGATGTCTTCATTTTACTACACCAAAGCTAACTGCGATTCACATAAATACCAATAGTTTTAAAGCTTCTTCACTTTCTTACCCTAATTAGTATTAAATTTAACACGACACAAAGTTAAGTTTAATATTTTTACTTAAAATCTATTAGGAGTGTTAGTTCTACAATATCACAGCCTAGATTGCGACTCTCTGTGTCGTTACTGTCAGCCACTATCATACGTCTTATCTTACACTGTACAAGCACGTAAGTGGAACATAAGCAGTACATTTGAAAAACCAAAATTGGACGTGACATAAGCCTCACAAAGACCTCTTTGATGATGTCATTATTTCTAATGATTATCGATAGATGTAATGATAGCATAATCAACATATTTAAATATTATTTGCATTACCTCTGGAGAGTTTATTCTATTTTAAAAGAAGACAGTGATGCCTCAGTCGTGCTAAGGTGTCGGACTTGCAATGTAAAGTAAAAATTCCAGGGATGCGCGAATGATAATTTTTTTTTATGTGAAAAGTTACCAAACGAGCAGACGGTTCACCTGATGGTAAGTGAATACCGCCGCCCATGGACATCTGCTTCACCTGAAGGTTACAGATGCGTTGACAACCTTCCTTTAAAACAAATTAATATTCCTTTAAATTAGGATATCTAAATGTATTGCATATTAGAATAATATATTCTATTCAGAGCGGAATATCAGTTGTGAGTGTTATTTACTGTATACTGTAAATTATATGTTTACAGAAACGATATTAGTTTCATGCTATAATCTCTCAGTCTGTTTGATTTGGATACCTAGATAAGGCTCGAGACACAGTGTGGATAAAATCTTTCCATCGACGATTCGTTATCAACATATTATATCCGAAGACCCAAAAAGTGCAGCATCGGATAAATTTAGTTATACGCCAATTATTGTTTGCTTTCTTGATCAAATCTCGTATATGCATACGTGCAATTAAATATACTCTTTAATATAAATATCGTATTATTTAAAGTTTTCCATCGTTTTTCTCTTACAAAACACACTAAATTCAAGCTGTAATAGGCTTATTTTAAAATAACTAAATTTTTTTATGTGAGAAAGTGGCAAACGAGCTGGCGGTTCACCTGATGTTAAGTGTTAACCAACTGCCCATGGACATTTGCAACACTCGCAGGGTTGCAGATGCGTTGACACCTCTTAATAATGTGGGCCCCGACTACCTCACCAGGCGAAACGCAGAAGTGCAACACTTCTACTTTACGCCGGTCTTCTGTGAGGTCGTGGTACTGACCCGGACGGACCTGCCCATTCGTGCAACAGCGAACATTCTTGCGTGGTCCTACCACCGTTAAAGACCGTTAACATATTCTTCGCATATTCATGTAAAACTATTGACACCACGAGAAACAATTCGAGCATCACGACCATATCGTGCAGCGTTCATGGCACGATGCTTGCTTATAAAATATTAAAAATCGACAAAGATCTTCCACAATCTTGTGTTTATAATGGTGTACGCTAATGACTTAAAGTATAGTATGAATAATGAAGAGATGCCAGTGAGGCGGTGTGCGCTGTTGGAAGCTCTAGTAAAATTTATAAAAATGTACACACCTTCGTAGTTACCTAACATTACTATAGTATTCTGTTTTCAAGGGTTTGCTGGAAGAGAACTCTCTTTGAACCGGCTAATTAAGGAGGACTGGAATAATGAACGAACTTATTTAACAAAAACCGCAACATGTAATCTGAATCACGAATGGCTTAAGGGAAGTGGTGCGTTAAGCAGATTTGGGTGCCTTGGTTGTAATGAAAATTTTAATATTTGATTGACATTGGCGTGGGTTTATTACCTTAGATATGTACCTTATATGCGCGTCATGATAACTATGAAGTTCTGGGGTGAAATACTTGTAGAAGGGTTGACAGTTTATATTGAAATAACTGAATGAATTTTAAATACCAATGCTTAATAATCATTTACTTACATGTTTTTTATGTGGGAAGGTGGCAACAGACCTGCTAGTTCTCCGGATGTTAGGTGATAACCGCCGCCCATGGACCACAACACCCGTAGGGCCGCAGATGCTTTTTTATGTGAAAAGTTGCCAAGTGAGCAGACGGTTCACCTGATGTTAAGTGAATAACACCGCCGATGGACATCTGCTACGCCCGAGGGTTGCAGGTGCGTTGACAACCTTTTGAAAATTGGGCTCCGGCTAGCCCACTCACCAGACGAAACGCGAAAGTAATATACTTCCACTTTACGCCGGTAGTCTGTGAGGTTGTGGTACCTACCCGGACGAGCCTGCCCTTTCGTGCAACTGCCGAGGCTACAGCGTGGCCTCACCACAGTTATTTTCAGTCTCATTTTAGTGTATTCCGTGCATAAAAATAGGCTTACATCATTTTCCGCATCTTGCCGTTTAATAGAGTCTATAAGCAAGCTCCGTGGCGCAGGTCCCAAAGCAATGGTATGATTGGCATGAGGTCGTGATTCGACTCCCACGATTGCAACTATTTGTGTGACCTACAAATAATTATTGCGAACCTGGGTGTTTATCCACCTGAAATAAGGCCTTATTGTAGGATAAAATTAGCCTACAATAAGGACAATGTTTAAAAAAAAAGAAAACATAGTGCTTCCGAAAGACATAATTATATAAAATAACATGATTTATATGTAAAAGTTAGTCTCTCGTTACAACCTGGAGTGCTGCCGTGCAAACGCACTTGGGTCGTTTTTACGCGTTCATAAAGTGGAACGTAAACGAAACGTCGTACGTGGTTCAACGCAGTTAAGTGTCGCCTAAAGAACGTTTCAGAGAAATGGTGTAGTAGAGGTTTCCACCCGCGAATGCTGTTAAACATTGATGGGGATGTTTGGAACGGGAGGATAATATTACCTACAAAGGCGTTCACCACATCCATCCCAATTGAAACTATCATTTGGGGTCGACGTGATAAATTGAACATAATATAGGATACTATAACTCTCCTTTTATTGTTCAAGCTGCACATTAATTTTTTTATTTGAAATATTTTCAAACGGGCAGGCGGTTCACCTGATGTTGAGCGAACACAGTCCATGGACATTAACCACACTTGAGGGCTTGCAGGTGCGTTGACAACTTGTAAGAAATTGGGTGCCAGTTACCTCACTCACCGTACGAAACGCGAATGTATAGCACTTCCACATCACGCCAGTCCTCTGTGAGGCAGCGGTACTTCCGGACGAGCCTCCTGCGTGGAACTCCTCTGGAACGCGCTCCCCGATAAGACCAAAACAGCTCCTAATAAATACACCTTTGAGAAACTGATTCGAGAATACCTGTGATGTCACTGTATAATAGTGGTATAAATAAATATATAATATAACAATAACAGATGATAGTTTTTTCTTCTGATGATTCTTATTTAAGATTAATCAACGCACCTACAAGCCCTCCGATATTGTAGATGTCTACAGGCGGCGGTAAACACTTAAAATCAGGCATCGTCTGTTCGTCTGCCAATATTCGTGTAAATAAAAAAAAATAACATATGCAGCGAAGAAGGTCTCTGAAGTCGTCATAAAGGTAGAAATGAAAAACAATATGAAACATTAACTTTACCTAAACGCATTCAATTAAGCTACTCCTTTTTTGAAAAAATCATGTTACACAACAACTGTCTTGTATACGGCGAATTTTTTTAATCTGTCTAGTTGGTATTGAGTCGCTTCTTACACACGTAGATGTTATTTCCGCTGAACGAGGATGTCGTGAGAAGATCCGATACACTACGTTCTCAGTCTCTCGATCTGTGTAACTGTTTAGAACTTAAGTGCTTTGACATTCTATTTAAGAACAACACTTCGATATTATTCTAAAGTGGATACGGACATACAAAACATTCCTCATGGTATAATATAGTAATAAACTATAGGCCGTAAAATATTGTAGCTAAAAACCTGTGATTGATGTTTTTGGGAGCAGAGAATTAAAAAAAATACCCGGTCTGATCCACGCCTTCTGGTAGCTTTTGTTTCAAAACTAATATGTTAAATTTGCTATTACTAATATAAGTGTTGATTACAATGAAATTTAGTTGTAATAAACTTAGTTGGAAATGTTTACATTGTAAACTTACTCAGAATGTTCTTTCGTTTCAGTTCAATGTTAGTTAGGACAATAGCCATCACAACTTTGTAAAACAAACTCAGGGGGAGAAGCGTACGTCAGGAGACGTTTAATAATTAATATTCTAATGAATGGTTAATTTTAATCATCAAACCCGTGACCGATCGATCTGACCGGCCCGTGTTCAAAATGTTGCTTGCTCGCACATGTTATTGTCGTCCTACGTAGTTGTCATACTTTGTTATATTCACTAATGCTTATTCTAATGTTAAGTATTTACACGTGTACTCAAATACATTTCACGTTCCTGAACTCATTTGACTGTTGTACAGTTTACGTAATTATTTGAATATTTTATGTTTACCTTTTAAGTCTGGGTCTCGTGTAATCGTATCGTCTTAAAAATTATATGCAAAATGAGATTTATCCTTAAATGTGATTAAAGATGTTTAAAGGAATTAATCAAAACTCGATAATTACGATTGGTAACCCTAAGCAACATAAATTCAAGTACCGATTCAAAATGCAAAATAATAACAAAGAAAATTAAGCTCTCAAAATGAGGAGCATAACTCGGCAAGGGCGAACTTGAAAATACTTCTAAGAATTTCCAGCTGAAAATAATCTCTTAAGGTTCAAGAGCACCAACTCTACGTGGGATGCACTTTAGACATACTGATGTGACGTCTGCTAGGGCGATGGCGCTGCGGACTGTCTGTCTCACTAAACGCTCCAACGAACTGTCTCTTTAGTTGTTCCGGCGGCGAGGATAAAGCAAACGAACGACCAGAGCCACTTGAATTTAATGTTTCTATTTTAAAATAAAACATTCTGAATTCGATGAACAAAAAAGTGATTCTTTATCAGACTGTGCTAATAATTAGCATTAATGTTACTCG